AGTGGGCGAACGTGTTCTCTTGTCTTTCTTCTTTAGTGGGCGAACGTGTTCTCTTGTCTTTCTTCTTTAGTGGGCGAACGTGTTCTCGTGTTTCTTCTTCTTCAGTGGGTGATCGTTTCGAGCGGTCGGCCGCCTGGAGATGGTTTCCGAAAACCCGGCCAGTCCTGCTTTCAGAAATGTTGATTTTTGCTATGTAATCCATGGTAAAATCCGTACAGATTAACCGGTCCTACTCAATAGTTACCAGTTCCAGAATGAAGTTGGTTTGCTATATCCAACACTATTAATCATGCCCCGTTGCAGCAAGCGATGCTACCTCATAACCACATTTCTAAAGAATGTTCTCTACAGTTGAAGGAACTGTAACAAAGGAGGCGGCCCAATGCCTCCAATGCGGTCCAATGTAATTAAAATTTCCTTTACTCAAATTAAAAATAAGCCGAAAAACTTTACTTTATTGGCAATGGCTAACAAAATGACTACAAAATCCTGGGTATTTTTCACGATCCTACTACGTCGCGACGAAGAGATTTTACACGTATTCTCACTATTCGTTATATTTTACCACCAGGACGCAATCTGCACAGTCACTTCTTCCAGTCCCCGCTGTCACACAACCAGGAGGTCAGCTGTTTTGGGGAGGGAGGTGACGGAGACACGGGAGACAACTGGGTGGTTGTCTGCTCAGGTAATTAATTAATCATCGCATTTTTACGAACCCGTCTTATCTGTCCAATTGAAATAACCACGTGCCACATGGACTTCGGCATTAGGTCTTTCAAGCTCGTCCGACACGTGAACATGCGTTTCACGCGCAAATGCCCGAATCTGGACTTGGCAGCACTACGTTGCTAAGCATAGTCTTTAGAACACAATAACGCTACAACGATTGGCTGGAGCTACGCGATTGTCCAGGCCTGTCGTTTCGACACGCCCGGAATGCGCGACGACGACGACGACGACGACGTCGCTCGCCCCCATCGTATGACAGAGCCTCTCGTTTGTCGCAGGCGATCACTGGGAGCGGAACGAGCCGATCAGGCTGCGGCACCAGGACACAGACGCCTACCTGCACCTCACGGGCGACTCGTACGGACGCCCGATCCACGGACAGAAGGAGGTGAGCGGCTACGCGAGCCCGCACCCGGGCAACTACTGGCGCACGCAGGAGGGAGTCTACATGATGCCGAAGAGAACCGACGTCGTATGAGACGACGGCCACGTGGCTAGCCTGCGTGCAGTGCTAGCAGGACTGCTAGGTTAGCACGCGTAGACTAGCCTGCATGGCTAGTCTGCAGTGCTAGCAGGACTGCTAGGTTAGCACGCGTAGACTAGCCTGCATGGCTAGTCTGCAGTGCTAGCAGGAATGCTAGGTTAGCATGCGTAGACTAGCCTGCATGGCTAGCCTGCAGTACTAGCAGGACTGCTAGGTTAACACGCCTAGACTAGCCTGCATGTGGTACTAGCAGGACTGCTAGAACTGCGGTGCTTGCGTGCTAGCATTGCAGTGGGAGTCGGACTGGGGTGCATTCTGTGATCACAAACTACCGGATGCTTCTTTCTAAACTTGCCCGAACAGTTAGATCAAGAAGAAAACCAATGTACAAACAGGGCAAACGTATCCTGTCAATTAGGAAAGTGTTCTGTGTGTCAGCGTTGGTTCACAAATGGGGGTAGGGTTTTGTTTACTTAATAGTGCACGAGAAAATTTGGTCCATTTTGATACTTCAACACTATCATTCCGTACAAGATTGGTCGAATATTGTGACATGCACACCAAAACTTGTTTACGCGAGATTAAATAGTATAATTTTACGAAATCGGTCTGATTCAAAACCAGAATAGTACAACTTGTGTCATCACTGCGAGGGGCAGCACAAGAAGTGTTATCAATTGTTAGCAATAAATGTCCAATGGCTGTCTTTAAAATCAAGTTTTTATTTCTTTCTGAAGAATATTTAACAACAAAATTAGGTTTAATAATTTGAACATAATTACAACTCGATTCAACCAAGAAGACGGCTTACGACCAGGTGTGTGTTAACCTTTAAGTTAATTTTCTTCATGCCAGTTCCAAAATTGGTTTGACTGTCGCATGTCAGTCTGTATGTACGTACGTATACATATGAAAAAGAAAGGTATGTTGTACTAGTTATTGGTGGTATAATCAATATATCACAGGTGCCTCTGTTTTTATTGAGGTTACATTATGTGTATCACAGAACCTTTGTGAAGAGGGCAGTTTGAGATATTTTGGAGTTTCATAGCTTTGGGAGTAACGGCATCATATTTTAACTTTGTCAGTGCAATTTTCACTTGTGTCTGCTTCTTGTAATCCGTGTGCGTGTTGATAACTTTTTAATAAATGTTGGACAAATGTCAAAATAGACATTGTTGACCACAAACTAGAAACTTACAAATGAAATTATTTTCAATTTATCGGTTTCAATTAAAAACGCGCTAAAATTGTCGTCAACAGACAAACTATTTTAAGATATTTGCGATGCAACTGCATCTATAATTGTTATATTATTACTGCAATCAATAGAATAATTTCAGTTTGCAGATGTTAGAAGGAATTTGATTAGTAGAGCAACTTATCATCATGACGGCATAGCAGTTAGTAATGGCTCTAATAACACATTGGCAGCATTACGTAAATCTATCCAACATTCCTATAAAGGCAACCCATAACCTACGTTGGGATTTCGTAATGGGCACGCTGAGCTATATAATTCACGTGCATGTGCCACTCAATGTCGGAGCCATTGCTCCCATCTAATAGCAGATCACCCGCTCTCACAGATCATCCAACTTATCCATCCGACAAGACTACACAGAGTTCAAGCGACTCACAGTGCCTTGCATTCGTTCAGGAACAGCCGCCTGTAGTAGTAGTAAGTGAATCCCAGGCCCACGGTAAGTGCGAGGAGGAATACGCCCACCGCGACGGCGAGCGTCGTCAGGTCCTGCGGCTCGGTCGCGCCGTAGATGCGCACTCCGAACCTCGTCTCCAGCTGACAGAAGCTGCAAGGTGCACAGAGGGAACGTGAGTGAACTCCCTCGCCCCCACCGTAACCACGGTGCTATGCCCCCACCACCACCACCACCACCACCACCACGCCGTTAGCACAGATGAAGGCAATGATGAAGACTGACCTCGGCTAACCAATGCAAGAGTCGTAGAGGTGTATCCTATTGTGGTCGTAGGATATAGCATGTTGAGTCCGATTGTGGGTGATGTGTGGTGTCTGATGCGTGGTTGGTGTTGCATAGTAGGTAGTGATGTGTGATGCGTGGTAGGTAATGTGTGGTGTGTGGTAGGTAATTGGTGATGGGTGGTAGGTAACGTGTGGTGTGTGGTAGGTAACGTGTGGTGTGTGGTAGGTAATTGGTGATGGGTGGTAGGTAATGTGTGGTGTGTGGTAGGTAATGTGTGGTGTGTGGTAGGTAACATGAAATACATGTGTGGTGTGTGGTAGGTAATGTGTGGTGTGTGGTAGGTAATGTGTGGTGTATGGTAGATAATATGTGAGGGATGGTGTGTGGTAGGTAATGTGTGGTGTATGGTAGATAATATGTGAGGGATGGTGTGTGGTAGGTAATGTCCCTCACATGCAATTACCTACCACACACCATCCTCACATATTATCTACCACACGACCACACAATTACCTACCACACACCGATTCCTCAATATTATCTACCATACACCCACTACACTACCACACACCATCCCTCACATATTATCTACCACACATTACCTACCACACACCACACATGTATTACACATTACCTACCACACACCATCCTCACATTTATCTACCATACACCACACATGTACCTACCACACGACCATTTCCTCACATAATCCTACCACAATTAGCCTACCACACACCACACATGTATTACACATTAACCTACCACACACCATCCCTCACATCATTATCTACCACACACCACACATTACCTACCACACCCATCCCTCACATATTATCTTACCACACACCAACAGATTACCTACATCACACCTAGTCCCTCACAAGATTATCTACACACCATTCCTACCCACACACCACACATTACCTACCACACACCATTCCTCACATATTATCTAACCACACACCACACATTATCTACCACACACCATCCCTCCACATATTTACATCACCATTACCTCCACACCACACCAATTACCTACACACCCACTTATCTACTCACACAATTACCTTACACACACCATCCCTCACATATATCTACCAT